ATTTTTTTCTCCTACCAATCTGAATATGAGTTGCTAATTTGTTTTCTTTGTATGTTTTATCTCTTCTTTCCAGGGATATTTATAACACTACAGAGCTTCCCATGGAAAGAAATGTGAATCTACGGCCAGTTGCTGGTACAATTGGTCCCTCAGACTGGAATGAAGCTCTTGATATTATATCATATGATTCTCCTGAGCAGGTTGTTTCCCCTTTTCCTTTTCATGGATTAGGATTGACTTTCATCTTAATCCCTTGTCATACCCCGTGTTTATAGCAATGAAGGAGTATATAAGCTTAAGTACTCCATACACCCACCAACAACTGAATAAAAATGAGCATTCTCCAAACAAGACTACTCTAAGGGTGTGTTTGGCCTGAAGATGTTTCCAATTTTTTCCCATGTTTGGTTAATCAAAGAGTTTGGAAAACACTTCCTCTAGTTAAACAAGCTCCTTGAAAATGACTTTCATGAAATAGGGAATACAAGTTCCATGAGTGGTATTCCACTCTTCCCCATCCTCTCCAACACACCCATAGCTCCCGTCTCCACCCCCACCCACCCCATAGTGTTTCCAGATTATCTGTTAATAATTTTGAAACAATATTTTTTGCTTACTTGTGGAACACCAGAAAATAAGTAAGAAATCCTTTTAGTTTCCAAGAAAACATTTTCCTCTGAGATGTTTTTCACATCCTGAACCGTATTGGGTGATCCAAATGATTGCCTAAGAGTTAACACGATCCACAATGTTTGCGTTTTTGCTTAAGAATATGAATAGTTTTTGTCCCCATTGAAATATAGAAATTTGGATCCCTAATTAGACTACCGGAGTATTTTATCTTCTGATGCCGATGATTTCTTTCTTCTTTGGTTTTGGGGATATTCTCATTGCTAAACTTGTTATGAGTTTATAAAAAAAAATGCATAAGTTGTCTAAAATCCAAAACAATGTATGTTGCACAATTTATTATAGCTGGTTATGGGTTCATCTTTCTGTTTGTTTGTGTGTCTATGTCTTGGTTTTTCTGCTTCTATGGATTCATCATTACAAAGGTTAATGAGGATGGAGGGTAACTGTCAATGATTCACTGATACAATCATTTCTTTCCCTTGTTGCAGTCTGTTGAAGGAATGAAAGTTGTGTGCCATTTGTTGGCCCTAGCAACCAATGATCCTGAAGGCAGTGCCATGGATGAAATTGTCAAAGATGCAGATAGGCTTGTTTCCTGCTTAGCAAATAAGGCGCGATATGATTCATTCTTTGTGTAACTAATTCGTTGTTGTCTGTGTATTCTTCAAATTGCTCATGTTCTAGATCTACTACAGGTAGCAAAAACGTTTGACTTCAGTCTGATGGGTGCATCTTCAAGATCTTGCAAATATGTTCTTAACACACTCATGCAGGCATGTGGTTATCCAATTTCTATTAATTCTGCACTAACATTATTTTTTCCTTGTATATGTAATCATCAAGTATTTGAACAATTGTTGGTCTCACACGTATTTGGAAATATCTCAATTTCTGGCTGTTTCCTTGTTTGCAGACATTTCAGAATAAAACGCTTTCTCATGCCGTAAAGGAGAGTACCCTAGATATCCTCATTACTGAACTTTTGCTTTGGCTTCTTGATGAGAGAGTACCCCGCATGGATGATGGCAGTCAGCTCTTGAAAGCGTTGAATGTTTTGATGCTAAAAATCTTGGTACTTCTGCTTCTGACATTGCATAAAAAGAGTGCAGTTTACCTTTATTTTAGCTGGCTTGTCCTGATTATTTTCTATCTTTTTTTGGTCACTAATATAGGACAATGCTGATAGAACATCATCCTTTGTTGTGCTGATTAATCTATTACGGCCTTTGGACCCATCAAGGTGGCCATCTCCAGCAACAAATGAATCACTTGTCATAAGAAATCAGAAGTTCTCTGATTTGGTCGTCAAATGTCTTATAAAACTTACAAAGGTAGTTTTTCTCGCTTGTTATTACAATCTTGGGTTTCTTAAGACTGATGATTAACAATTCTTAAGCTGTATTTACGTTTTTATGCAAATATGTTTGTCTGCCTCCTTTTCTCTCTTTGTTCAATGTGATGTGGTAAGTTTCTGAATGCAAAATCTATGCAAGCTCTCCAATGTTGCAGTAGTAGTGTAGTGGACATGTTTCTTTCTTGAAGTGACTATTAAGTATCAACTGTTGCTTTCACATTTTATAGGTTCTTCAAAGCACCATATATGATGTCGACCTTGATCGCATCCTTCAGAGTATTCACATTTACCTGCAAGAACTAGGAATGGAAGAGATCAGGAGGAGGTAGCTTTCAATTAGATTTCAGATTTTTCTTTTTGGGTATGCACTTTGATATGGATTAATCAGCTATTTTCTTTCCTAATTCTTGTCTTATAAAATACGGAAAGAGCGGGAGCCGATGATAAACCTTTACGAATGGTGAAAACTGTGCTGCATGAACTTGTCAAGCTTCGTGGTACTGCCATAAAAGGTCATCTGTCCATGGTGCCAATAGATATGCAACCACCACCAATTATTCTTGCCTACATTGATCTTAACCTTCAGGTTATGCAATTTTTAACTGCCAGATTGTTTTTTCTGTGCTAGTAATTCATGTGGAGTTTCCAATTGATGTTAATAATCTTTCAGACCTTGGCTGCTGCGAGGATGTTGACTCCCTCTGTACCTGGCCAAACTCACTGGGGTGATTCTGCAGCAAATAATCCAGCACCAGCAACACATAATGCAGATGCTCAGTTGAAGGTATAATGTGTGGCATTTTTTTTCTAGCTTGTTTTTTCGAAAGTGAACTTTCCTTTTCTTTCCTTTGCAATATAATTTTGTTGCATTGTACTAGTAAATAACAAAGTAGTGTTATGTTGTGTGTTTTACAGCAGGAACTTGCTGCCATATTTAAGAAGATCGGTGACAAGCAAACCTGCACAATTGGTCTTTATGAGTTATACCGGATCACACAATTGTATCCCAAGGTACAATGCTTTATCCTTTTAGTGTCAACTTATTTCCCTGCCTTCAAAACTCAACTTCTTGTAACATCATTTTGTCCAATCTGTATTAGGTTGATATATTTGCTCAGCTGCAAAATGCTAGTGAGGCATTCCGAACATATATTCGAGATGGTCTAGCCCAGGTGTGCATTGGATCTCTTTGTACCACACATTTATAGATTTGTAGTTACTAGTCATGGAATAATTGTTCCCATGAAATTGCAGATGGAAAAGAATGCTGCGGCTGGAAGGACTCCTTCTAGTGTACCCATGCCAACTCCTCCTCCGTCTTCACTAAACCTGTCTTCTCCCAAATTTGGTCCTTTATCTCCTGTAAATACTAACCCATTGAATGATGCAAAATCTGTAAACAATAAAATTGAACCATCACACTTTAGTTTGCCACCGTCGTATGGCGAAGATGATAGAGGTGGTAATGCTCTCCCCTCAAGAGGACTATCATCTGAACATTTGGAGTTGCAGAGAAATGATAGATTGCCTTCTGGAGGTACACATGTGCCAAGTTATTTCTATTCTAGCTTTCGTGTTTTCCTTTCTTTTTTCATTTTTGATATATTAACTGTTCACTTCAAATGTCAGTTACAAAGTAGTATTGTTGTTGCAGTTACTAGTGGAACACTAGAAGCGATCCGCGAAAGAATGAAAAGTATTTCATTAGCTACTACCGTGGGGAACGTGGACCCAAGTAATAGACCACTAATGTCCATGAATGGTAACATCAGTCACGTGGTGTCAAATCACGCTCCTGGCACTGAACATTCTAGTGTTGAAAATACCATTCAGAATGGGGTTCTTCCCATGGATGAGAAGGCACTTTCAGGGCTCCAGGCACGAATGGAGAGGCTGAAGAGTGGATCTATGGAATTCTAGATATTTTTTGGTCAAGAGTGATTCCCAGTGAACTTGCATCACAAGATGCTTTATGTTTGCCGAGAAACACCTTGAACGTTTATATTGCAGTCGTCAGCTCATGTCTGATTACAAGTGGAAAGCAAGGAAAGCGTTGCCTGCCATCTCAATTTTATGGGACATATCTTTGTGTTCTTGAGATCTCGTAGATAATGTACCATAATGGTTTTTTCCGGCAGGATTAGCTGTATATTTTTGTAGAGATATCTACTGATTTGATTTGGTCTAATTTAATTGAGAGGCTCTCGTGTGTTTCGAAATCTTGATCTAGTATGTCATGCCTCAATTGATAGCTAGATTCCGGCTAGGTAGTTGAAACTGTTGTAAGCTGTATGACAACACTTAAATGTTGAAATCTTCCTATTTTCACGTTTGATTCCGTCTCCTTAGTGGAACCCAATATAAAGGATAGTAGTATTACTGGAGTAATATTGTTTAAGTCATCTCTGTTTTGGATGAAAAAAATCTAAAGATTCTAAACAATATCACACGAGATATCAATAACTTGTTTTGCCTTGAAACTCTGCATGTGAGTAAATTCAATTTGTGCAATTTTTTTTATTATTCGTCTATAATTTTTTGATGTTTTTCTTAACGTGATTTGCTCCTTGTGGGACACACGTGACCACTTTAAATTTCCTTTACTGGACACGTGACCACTTTTATTTAAAGAGGAAAACAGTAGCTTACTAGCTTTCTACCATTAATTTTTTTTAATAATTTGATAAAGTTAGTAACTAATTTGATATCATAAGTTAAAGGGATAATGTGTACTGGTAAGGGTCGTTTGGTTCAAGTACATTCAAAAATTAAATTGCATAGATTATTTATGCAGTGATACTGGCTTAATATCTAATCTCAGAATGCTTGTATAATTTATATATTATATGTTTTATACACAACCAATTAAATATTACATTATCTTTTACAAATTTTTATACTGAGATTAGTTGCACTAATAACACAACTAAGCCACCTCTTAAAATAGGTAAGTTGGGTTTAAACTTGAACCTATTTTTATATTTTCCAACATTGTGAGGAGTGAGGACTGAGGAATATTGTATCAACAAAGCTAACTTTTTTTTTTTTTTTTTTTGTATAAATAAGTTGAAAAAAACTAAAGTAACGTAATTTGTACATCTTCTCAGAAGGTTCCTTCCATAGCCTTGTACCTTTTGCTTCCTCCCCAAGTACCCCTTTAAATTCAAATACTTTTTTCTTCTTCTGGATATGCATGATTTTTTAATTTTGTTTTGCATAAATATATTTGTTTAGGTTTGATTTTGGTTGCAGAGAGCGAAAATATAAAGTTTGTATAGCAAGATGGCTTCAACACTGTTACTGGTTTTGGTTTTTGTGCTTGATTTGATAGCTTTTGGACTTGCTGTTGCTGCTGAGCAGAGGAGGGCTACTGTGAGTTCATTTCCGATAATTCTTCTTCTATTTTGCTCTTTCCTGTATGTTTTTTTGTTATATTCTTCGTTCAGCTTTCAGTATCATATTATATACTACTGTAGTGGGTTTTTTTTGGTGTGGGTTTGTATGTTGAGGAATTGAAGAAATTATGTAGCTATTTTAGAGGGTAAATAAATTCTCAACCCATAAAATTCTTCGTGCACTATGAACAGTAATTATGGTTTAACAATAGCCAGGTTGAAGATCGTTGGATTATGTTCTAGTATATAGTTTATAGCTTGTTGAGGTGATATCCATGGAAGGACCCAGAAGTTGATTTAATAAAATTGAAAAAAAAAAGGTGGGGTGGGATATTTTGAATTTTGAACAAGTAGGGTCATCCCTCTCTACTGGCCTACTACATGTGTCTGCTAGTTGTTGTCGACTATCAGATTATAGTCTTATTTCTTTCTTGGGTTTGGCAATATGGGACCTCTATGTATTCTGCTATATTGAGTGGCTTCTCATTTCTCGTATGGTGACTCAACTAGTAATAATTATTATCTCAGAAAATCATTTTCTAACTATCTGAGAAATTTAATCCTCATTTTATGTAAGTAACGTCTTTTAAGTCTAATTAGAGGTTCTTTGCAAATAAAGGTTTTGTAAATTTTACACTTACCCCTATTTGAACTTAATGTAAGCGTAACGACATCAACAACTTAACTTTAATCTGACCAGTGTTGGTAAATTGGATCCTTGCTTCCATTATGTTTTATGTTTGCTAAGGCCTAAGTTCACATTGATACCGTTCATAGATCTACCTCGTTCGCTTTTATTACCATCTATTGCCATAGTGTCACATCTACAGATTAGTTTGCATATGCTGAGGCTTGTCGTGATATCATGTCAATATTGTTACCTGAATGAAGGACTTGGTGACTTAGATGCTTTTGGTTATGTCAATCAAATATTTTAGTTAGAAGCATTATTTGTACATTCTCATTTTTATATAAGCATGTGAACAGATTTGCAAGTCTGACCAGAGATAATTCCCTGTCCAACTTCTCGGGTGTGGATAAACTTGGAAGGAGTGGTAGTTATATCCTTAATTCAGTTGATCTAAAAAGGTTGTTTCGATGAATCTTTGAGATTTCACAAGTGACTTGATGCTATTTTAAGATTTGGATAATGAAATTAGAGAAGTAACTTGTTCAGTCACATCGCCATATAAACAAGTGAGTGGATTAGGAAGTGTGACCAGAGATATTAAGTACATACAGACCTTGCCTTTCAAGATACTATGCATCAACTTCATTGAAACTCTTCAATTAGTACCTTCATGGTATTATTACATCTTGCTTAGTGTTCTCTCTTCTTCCCTTGAATCTCTGTGTGTGGGGTTGAGAGGTGAGGTGATTATAATCTTTTGTTAAGTCTGTACTAAAACAACCCCAATATGTAAGTCTACTCTCTAAGAGAGTTAACCAATGTTGATGTCCTTGTTCAAATGCAAGTGGAGTGGAAGTTGTCCGAGCATGTGAGTCTTTACGTGATCTGATGTGATCAGAGTTCTCATTGACTTTTTGAGGTTAGAACAGACAGGAACCGATCATGACAGACTAGTTCTGCAAGAACGACAAAGTTACCAAGTAACACGTACATATTCAAAATGGACATGGTTCATAGCTTTCGTGCAGGGACGGTTATAGTCGTTGTAGGAGCCAACTTAGATGGTGGCCTAAGAGGAAATATGAGATTTCAGAGCAGTTAGAAGAAGTAATTGATAGAAATCAAGATCTGCGCTAATTGCTTAGAGGTTTAGTTTAATATTATAAAAGCATTTCTGACTTAGCTATTTTGGCTATAAGGTTGATGCTTCTATACTTCACACAATATTTAGTACTAATAATATACATTTTCAGTAAGTTTAATTTTTGGGTTCTTTATTTCAGGCAACGATCAACAGAGATGCAGAGTATAATTACTGTGTATATGAGTCAGATGTTGCAACTGGCTTGGGTGTGAGTTCATTCTTCTTTCTTTTAGCTAGTCAGCTCCTCATAATGTTTGCAAGCCGATGTTTATGCTGTGGGAGGGCACTGCGGCCAGGAAAGCCCCGATCATGGGCTATTGTCTTGTTCATCACCTGCTGGTATGTTTCTCTGCAAACATGGTTCATGAACTGCATTTTAGTGTTTGCTAGCCAGAGTAGAGACATAATGATTTCACTGATGTATGTAAGAATCTAGTCAAATATGTGAGAAACAATTATGTCTTGAATTTTTCAGGGTCACCTTCTTTATTGCTGAAGTGTGCTTACTGGCGGCTTCCGTTAGGAATGCATACCACACAAAGTATAGGACTTACTTGGTTCAACATCCTCCGTCCTGCGAGGTTTTGAGGAAGGGAGTCTTTGGTGCTGGCGCTGCTTTTATTGTTTTCACTGGCATTGTCTCTGAACTTTTCTACGTCAGCTATTCCAAGGCCGATGAAGGATCCATTCCTCCAAGAATGGATGGTGGCATAAGGATGAATGCGTTCAGGTGAACCCATTGAGGAGAAGGAGGTTTTGGTTGTACACTCACTAAGCTTTTGCACTTACTTAGAATGTGATATTGGTAACGTGGTATACTTAACCCTGTCGGGTTGGTGATTTGACTTCAACAAAATTAGAGATTCTGATCATTTGTTGCGACTTATGTGCATCCTTCATCATTGTTCAAAATTGCTGAGTAGGGATATAGACATAGATAGGTATGACTGCTACTTGTGAGTTCTGTTGTACAATGTTTTGAAGAGAGTTTTTCTGGGGCCTGATGAGGCAAAAAATAGGTTGTCCACCTTATGATACCTTGAGATGATTCTAATGTTCCTGTTGCCATTTCACATTCTGTTCTAGTACCATATTCATTTTTCTTGACAACTGAGACATCTCCGAGAGCTGTTGGCTCACAGTTTGAAACTCGGTGAATAATGTGCCTGCCCGCCCTACTACTATCCTTCTCCACTTAGTTACCGGGCTTGTCTTTGGAAGTGTTTGAATTCATGACATATGCCTAACTCACACTTGTATATAACAATAGAAGGGCAAGGTATTTCTTTGGACATATCTACCTATCAAATACCCAAGTCGTTGTCCATATTCTTGACTTTTTTTATATTGGAGGTCATCATCATCTTGAAGGGTCTACTTATTATTTATTTTCCATTCTAAACATAATTTGCATATTTCTAAATTGTTAATTTAAATGGGGTTAAATACCTGTTATGTGATTGTGGTAAGAGTTATAAAATATGTTATTATGTCATGTATAACTAATTAAGATATATTTTCACCTCACTTGATCATTGTAAAGTTATGTAGTTAGTGATAAAATCCGATGTAGATAAATAACATTTTTTTGGTGAGAACTCTTCATAACTTTTCCTATGACCAAATATACATGGTGGGCAGTGGACTAATCATAATGCACAAACTGTTACATTTCGTTCGGTAGATGATTAGAAGTATTAGATATTAATTTTGCGGATATTAGTTATTTCATCTTTTATTATGTATAAGGTAAATAGATAATACAGAAATTCCCCTATAACTTATTATACACATATTAGTAATGCATTCTAAATTTCAAATGAAATTTCGTATTAATTTTATACATGAGTAATTTTCTGACTAACTACCAATTAACTTATACCAAAATTAAGATACTTCTTTACGAGCTACCAAACGATCCCATATAATTCAACAACAACAACAAAAAACTAGTACTTACAAGAAGTTCAAAAAACACTATGATTTTTTTCATCTGTCATAGTCTTGGTGGACAGAGTTACCTGATACCTATTGCTGATAGGAGGTGACAGATATTCCATAAAATTAGTTGTAACGCACAAAAATTAATCCAAACATCACGATCGTAAAAAATAAAATAAAAAACTAGTACAAGAAGTGGGGAGCAAGAGGGAATGACTCCCCAAGCAATTAGACAGATGTAGAGAAGAAAATAAATCTTGTGAAGAATTATTGATGTAAAGAGATTAGACATATATATCCACAAGAAAGAATCTTCCAATTCCATTCAATCACATCTATATCTTCCCACCACTACCTAGCTGGAATAAGACCCCATCAGTCTCTTCCATTCTAAATTCTAATTAATCTGTACCTCTCAATATTCACACCCTTTCCTATCAACATTTAACGGTAACTGAGTTAATGTTATTATATTCAGAGTCGCTAAAATCTTTAGTATCATTTATATAAAGTATTAATTATAAATATTGATATTTATTATTGTCGATAAATATAATATAATGACAATTATATTATTACCGCTAAATTCTTTGTTATAGGCTACACAACCTTTGTGTACTTGTTTTCTCATTCACAATCAAAAGAGAGAGTGGAAAACACAACATTATTATAGCATGAAAGCTGATTATAAAAAGGGATATACATTTTTTGAGGAAAAAAAAAAGGTTAATGGTAACATTAATAGTACTAATTAACAAGACTTAGCTTGAACATTAGCCCAGCATGAACCCAAATTAAATTTACATCAAAACAAATCCTTTAATTAACTAATCAATATACAAACATTTCTCTTGATCATCCTCTTATGGTTTGATCTCTAAATCATCCCATGCTTTATTGAGATCGGCTGCATTACTCAACGTCTCGAATTCGTTCCAATTCCAGTAATTACTTGACATATTTTCATCTATAATAAGATCATAATTGCTTGTTTCTGGAACTTTCCATGGCTCATGAGAAAGAAGATCATTGCTGCTTGTAATTGGCATAATTGTAGTGATTGTTGACTCCTCCAATATTGTACTATCAAACTTCCCCATATGTTCATAATTATAATAAACATTTGAAGATAATTGAGTATTAGTACTAGAATTGGGAATTAATGAAAAATGTGTATTCCCATGATCTTGAGAAATATTTGAAAATATGTCATAAGGTAATGAGTATGAAGGAAGATTTTTGATATCTTCATCTATAGTACTAGTAATAGTACTATTTCCCCTTATTGTGACACTTGGCAATATGGAACTTGTAATACTATTGGTCATACTCGTTGTGGTGATTAGTGGACACCTCTGATCATTTACTTCTAATCTGACATGTTTCCTTCCAGTTATATGATCAACGGGATCAGTAGGCCTTAAACGTTTGTTTTTTCTCCCACCGCCTATCGGAACGTTACGAAGGGTGCCACCTTCGGTCCAATGCCTTTTACAACCTTTACAATAATGTCTAGGCTGTGACTTGTTGTAATTGTTGTAGTAACAAAATTTAGTGTTGATTGAATCACACCTTGGACATTTCAATTGCTCCGATTTCGGTGGCGGCTGCCGCCTTATCGACGGTGGTTCCGGTGGAGTATTGTGGGTGGTGGTGGTCCAATTATCTAGACCATCATCCTCAATTGAAACCAACTTAGTATTCAACCCCATAAATCGATAAACAAATGATCCCTAACTAGCTGAGTAGTGAAATATAATTTTAGTATATAGGAGCGAAACAATCAACCTGTTGATTTCTAATGTGTAATTTTTTGCCTTTGGATCTTGATACAAGAAAGAGAAATGAAGATGAAGAGAATTGGAGTATTATTATATGGTGAATTTTCTTTGAAAGAGAGAATATTATTTATGAGGAAGGTGATGAGAAATGAGAATGTATATCACTAGCTATTTTTTATTTTTTTTAAATGTGAAAGTGTGTATATACTTGTGGAAGGGGTGGTGGTCTATGGGGGCTATCAATCTATCTGTAAAATTAAAATAAAATATAATTGTATATAATAAGATCTAGATATAAGATATATATATATATATATATATATTTAATTTCTAGGTATATATGTATATATCACTTGAGAGCAATAGTTGTATTGTATGGTTTTGATTGAAACTTGTGGCTTGTGGGGTGCAGTCTATATTAAATTATGACTCTTAGGTTTCATTTTAGCAGACAATCTATAACATCCCCTCCCATTATTATTGTATTATTTCATCTTATAATTATTTATTTCAAATCGAATGTTGCTTTCTTTTTTTCTTGATCAATAAAAAGTGTTAATTGCTGTTAAAAATATATAAATATATATTTCAGTAATTAAGTTATTATCGTCAATTAATTATCGTTAAAGATTATTTTTAATATAACGTAATCAACAATGTAAAATAGACATTTACACTATTAAATTACAAGAGCCAAGAGGTTAGTAATTAAGCGTTGTTCATCGATACATAGCCTGAAATAAATGGTAACTAGCTAGTTAATTATAAGTATGTTGTAAATTGTAACATGTTAAATTACAATGATTATTACAGCTAATCCTGGTTGTAACATTAACTTTTTAGTTAAAAAATGAAAGAAAACGGTAATTTAAAGTAATTTTAAATACACTTTTTCATCACAATTACTTTTTCTAATTCATGTAGCTGTTAAAAAAAAACATTTCAATTTTCATTTATCGACATCCATATGTTTTGGCGTGCACACCTTCTATTCAAATCTTATACTATACACTATCCCCCAAAAAATAAAATTTAACCTAAATATATAATATACTTTTTCGACAAAAAGTGTTTAATCTATCCGTTTTACTTTCACAGTATATAAACACGTTCCTAAGAGGAAGGTCAAGCAGGGGCAAAACTAATGTATAAAAAGAGTATTTAAAAGACTTAATAATTATAGTTCAAATTCTATATTTACGAAAATATTTAAAAAAAATTAAAATTTTAAATTCTGCCTCTGCCTCAACTCGGATGCGGAAATATATGTACCGACGGTAGTGGGAGTTTGGTAAGAGAAATGTTCCATTCTATATACTAAATTTGTATAGAAAAAGGGACCATATGTTACATATGGATTATTGAGTTAGTGATGTGGTCAATTACTCAATTAATTAAAAGAAAAAAAATAAAGGGAAACCAACAAATAATATATACAGATCCAAGAAGATGCTTACAAAAGGGTACCACCGTCCTTTTTTTTCTCATATTCCCATAAATTACATATACAAAATTGTTTTTTCCAGTCAAGTTCATATAATTATTTTTAGTGAATAAAAGGGATGGTCGGTTTGATATTGACTCCATGTGAAATTATTATGCTAAAAGGGGGTTAATGAGATTTACATGTAGAGTTTGGGCATATAGTGTGGAAGTAATCTATTTGGATGGTTGTTAGGTATTGTTTTAGTGAATGGATTATTCTATATCGTTATTTGTCGTAATATAATATTACGTATTAATAATTTAAAGGATAAATTTATTTAAGAAAAGTGGGTTACGTGTTAGAGTTATTATAAAAAGATAGAATAAAAAAATATTATTAAATAATAAATAAAAATAAAATGAAAAGAAAAAATAAGATAAGGACACGAATACAGTAAATTGGCTATTACACAAAATAGGACTTTTCAGTTTTCCTCATCACCTAATGATAGATTTAGCGATACGATAAACAAAATTTAAATAATAATCAAAATAATCATTGTATTCAATACAATACAGTGACTAACATCCATCCAAACAAGGAGGCTTTTAGGATGACATACACTTATAGAAAATACATAGGTGTAAAAAAGTACTTTCGTCATTTCATTTTAAGTGTCTTAGCTTGACTAAATTACAGTAAGCATAAAGAGAAAATAAGACTGATTTTTTAATCTTATAGTCTTAAACTAAGTTATATACTATGATAGTATGATGTATTGTATTTTCTAAAACAAGAACTGAAAGATGTAATTTGACGTAACTAGTAAAGTTATTATCACGTAATCGGGAGCTCACGCATTCAAACTTGTGGTATATATATGGTCCGGCTCTTCCTTAGATCCCGCCAATAAGTAAACATAAAACCAAAACATCATGGTCATTATTTTCAATGGTATGATGATGAATGTGTTGGCTGCAACATTATCCAGTCGTAAAAGTCAGCGGTAGTGTCAAATATGTTTGGTGTTGTTCATTTCTCGATATGTACTAAGATATGACTTCTATTATATAAATGACGGAATTATAATTTTCACCAGGAGGATTCAAAATATAACAAAGTAAAAATATAGAAAGAAGTCAAGAAAATTCAACATTTACTATATGTACGTTAAACATAAAAAAAAAATGGATGCAACTATTCTAAACTATCAAAAACAATCTATATTGACGGTTGAATTTCCAAATCATATAAAAAGATCAAATTACCTCAATATCTTAATGTGTGCATCCGTGAAGTCCCATCACCATCCACAACATTTAAAAAAAAGGAAAAAAAAAAGTAGATGAATATTCAAATGAAATTAATTAAATAATTATAAATATGAAAACCACATGCATGTAATCAAAAGATGGTGGTTAAGAGGAAAAGAAGTCTAGTCAGGCATATAATTAAAATTCCCTAGATGTTAAATTAGTAAGACATATTTATTATTATTAGTACAAATCAAAGAAATCAAACGTGGTCGGTTTGTTAGGTACTGTCACTATGAGAATGTTTTTCCCCTTAAATATTTAAAGAAAGAAGACAAAAAAGAATATTTTTTGGTCGGACAACTAGGACTTCTTCATAGCTTAGTTATAAAGCTTAGATTCAAATTAATTAAAATAATGAATTCAAGTTGAAATTATGAAGACGAAAAATCATTCTAATTTGACAGCCTAAAGTGTGGATTAATTTATTGACAATAACACGTGTGTACATAATCCCACTATATCGATTCCTAGTGTTCTAGGTATATATTAAGCAACGTCCCACTTATTCTTAACGATGAATCAAGTATTTTCACAATATATATAAGAATAATAACTATGTAGTATAATTTTCTACCGAATGGATTTCAGTTGACATGTGTTTTGAACAAAGATGTCTCCATCACTGCTTATTCTATGTTCGATCCTTTAATTAATTTTTTTTTTTGTTTTGTTTATTGTATGAATGTTAATTAATTAATGGGAGATATCATTAGACATGATGGGGTTTACCAAACAAATGGACCACTTGAGAAAAAAAAAAGATTTGTATGATAAGGTTCCAGCTTGGTTAAATCATGAATATGAAAATCTCATCCATGTACTAAGTCAGATAAAAGGTGCAAAATATATTCATCATCATATATTTCCATCAAGCCTAGCCGCCCATTTGCATGATTATAACCACTATGCAATTCTGAACCAGAAAAAGCTATGCAGAGAATATAATGTCATAATAATTACTAATTGATGATATAAATTTTAATTATTTGGTGCAGATACTTCTTAGACGAATATTTAATTCATTACAAAAGTAATAAGATACATAATATCGTTATTTAATCCTTTGTTTTTTTGTTTTCACCGTTGTTTATGAATCCTCAACTACTAATTATAATGCAAAAAGAGAAAAGAGGTGAGCTTTATTACTAGTTTCGTTCTATTTCAATTATTAAAATCCTTGTAGGCTTTGTATGCTATTTTTGTGGGGTAAATATATATGGTGGGCACACATGAAATGGAAAAATGTAATCACCAGTAATAGTTTGTACAATCACGTGAAATCTAAGTAGGAGTTTGGCCATGCGATATCATATCACGATGTGGTATCGTCAGATGGAATCAGTGTTTGGATATGTGATTTTACGCTGACTCCATCTCATGAGATGTGATTTCATATTCTCCAAAAACCATGATATGGAATTATATGGGAATTTCATATCATGATTTGAGATATTTTAATACAAAAATTGATCCACGAGTTTATATTCTGTTAAAACAACCACACATTTATATCTACTAACTATTTATTTCATATGTAAATAAAATTTATAATCACATCATTACTTTTTAAAATTTATTATTCTCACCAACATATAGTCACTTTAACTCATACCAACCGATTGTTGAGTAATAAATTTATTTTATGGCCTTAATAAGTGCACATTCATATTTTATGTGTAAGTTATTAGTATTTAGTTACATATTTCCTATCAACTTTGTTTAAAGAGATAATATTTATTTTATGACTTTGCATTGTCTTGGAAGCACTATATTTTTATTACTCTTACAAATATTATTTTTATGAAGTGCATTCTATAATGCTTCCAATTTATTTTATGTTCACCAAACTAATATTGATGTATTTTTTTATTTGGTAGGATTGTGTTGGTGCGATTGATGGAACATATATAGAAGGGGAGGTTCCTAAAGCGGTGCAACAAGCATATCGTAATCGCAAAGGAAGAATATCACAAAATGTCTTATGTGTTTGTGATTTTAATATGCAATTTACCTTTGTTGCTGCTGGTTGGGAAGGTACTGCACATGATAGTAAAGTACTTGAGAATGCACTTGTTGAACCAACGTCACAATTTTCATTTCCGCCACATGGTAACTTTAAATTACATCCTTAGAATAAATATTATTTATTTACACAAAGCTATCTCATTTACGTCACATGTGCTTTTAGTAATTCTTTATAAAATGTTTATTGGTAGATAAATATTATGTTGTTGATGCTGATTTCCGGAACACAAAAGGATTTATTTTTAGCTCCATACAAAGGACTACACTATCATTTGCAAGATTAACGAGGAAGTGAAAGAGAGCCTCAAAATGCCAAAGAACTGTTTAATTATAGGCATTCATCTCTGCGCAATGTGATTGAACGAACTTTTGAAACTTGAAAAAATAGATTTAGAATACCAAAACAAGTCATGAACCATTATGATATTAATACACAAGTGAAAAATTGTCATAACTTGTGCAGTATTACATACTCCCTCCGTTTCCCAAAGAATGACCTGGTTTGACTTGGCACGGAGTTTAAGTAAATAAAGAAGACTTTTGAATCTTGTGGTCCTAAATTAAAGTTATGTCAAATGTACAAAATTGCCCTTAATCTTGTGGTCTTAAACATGCCACGTAGGAAAGCAAAAAGTAAAATGTTACCAAAAAAGGAAAGAGGTCATTCTTTTTTAAACTGACTAAAAAGGAAAGGAGGTCATTCTTTGTGAAACGGAGGGAGTAATTATTTGTGAGAATACCAAAGTACTGATGGAATATTTATGGTCTATGAGCATGAAAAAATAGTTGCGGATGATATTGACCAACAAATGGCTCAAAGTAACAATGTTGGTTCATCTTCTCAATCACATGATCGAGAAATGCAAGTTCAACATGAGAAAATTGTCCGTACTATGTGTAAAGATTATATTAAAGACTAATACACTACAATTTATATTCAATTTTTTTTATATTAAATTAAAGTTAGATGAAACAATTACTTAAGTGGAGAACAAATAGTTTTGTAATAATTTATTATGCAATTTTATAATTTTTGTTTATTTGATAAGATTGAATAAACAATTGAGGCTATTTTAATAGTTTTACAACTTATGAGATTTTTATGTTTATGAGAAAATATACAACACAAAAAATTCTATATCGCATGTCCAAACAAAACTTCAATTTCATCTCATAATTCCATATCATGATACCATATCGCATGGCCAAACGGGCCCTAAATGAAAACTAAAACTAAGATTACGACGAAGTCGAGCATATATCAGAATTAGGGCATGAGATCTTCAATGTTCAAATACAGCTCAACGCATGTAGAAATGAAACCAGAGGTACAAACTAAGCACATTTCATAGGATAGATTAAGAGCCTGTTTGGATGGGCTTATAAGCTGGTCAAACTGGCTTAAAAGCCAGTTTTTGACTTATTAGAGTGTTTGGCAATTATCAAAGTGACTTATTTTAAGTCAAAAATGACTTATTTTAAGCCAAAAGCTAAAAGCTAGGGGGGGGG